CAATTCATTTTGAGACAGTTGCTAAACTGCTGGGGCTGGATTCAAACTCAGAACTCTCTTACCTTGTCCTCCAAATCTACTAGGATTATAGGAGTGTGCTGCCATCCCTGGCTTCATCCCCACTTTTAAGGGAGCCCCGTGAAGTTGAGGGACAGTATGTGTCTTCTCCAAGTCTCACAGGGGTCAGTAGACAATAGGTTTGAATGCCGGGCAGTTTTATGCCAGAGGCCACACTGTCTGCAAGAGATGTAAAGGCCTTTTATCTGGTGTGTGTGTGTGTGTGTGTGTGTGTGTGTGTGTGTGTGTGTGTGTGTGTGTTTTATTGGGTTGGAATCCAGAGATACTGTAGTACTGAGATACACCCTCAGACATTTTTACTTTTGAGATAGTCTCACTATGAATCGCACAGGCTGGCCTCAAGCTTGCAGTTCTGCCTCAGCTTCACCCACACTCTGCTCTATGACTTTTCCTTAGAAAAAGTACAGGGGTTTGAACTTGGGCCCTTGCACTTGACAGGCAGGTGCTTAAGCCACTGAGCTATCTCCCTGGCCCCTTCTGCAACTTTTTAAAAAATAAGCTAGCTTAATATTATTGTTTTGTGATTTTTGTTCTTTCTTATGTTTTCTTTGTTTTGCCAGATTTATATTTTCTCCTCTGTCCCACTTTGTGCCTATTCCCTCAGTAGAACCCCCCTCTAAACTCCACTGATGAATTCCTCTTTTTTAGTAGTGTCCATATTTCACCAAGTGAACAACGGCTCATGCCTGTGTGTAGTCAGTTATGCTCCAGGGAAGACACTTATGCCTGGCCGGCCACTGTGCTGCTGGCTGAGCAGGAGCCACAGAGCAGCTGGTGGGGGATGGTGAGGAGGAGCCACCACCCAGGCTGCTGAGGCCCTGCCTGGATCCGAAAGTGGGAAGGCTTAGAAGGTGGCGGCTCCTGAGAGGACGCACATGAGGGGGTGCTTCGCCTCGAGGCCCAGGGGACACCACTCTCCTGACACTTGAGCATCTGTTCAGTCTTTCAGGTTAGCAGGCTTCACTGCCACCTTTAGTCACCCTTTGTCACATTCACAGAACCATAGGGCCACCTCCCTTTTGCAGGCATTTCTCTCATGAAAGAACATACTTTTTTTAGTACTGAGGATGGAGCTCAGGGTCTTTGCATTGAGTTACATCCCTAACCCTTTACTATTTTTCACATTTATTTTGAGGCAAGGATTTGTTCAGCTGCTAAATTACACAAGCTAGGCTTGAACTTGGAATCCTCTGGGCTCAGCCTATCAGAGAACTGGGGTTCCAGATATATGCCACCACAGCCTGCTTGAACAGGACTTCTCCTCTTTCTCTTCCTTCTCCTTCTTCTTCCTCTCCTCCTCTTTTTCTTCCTTCTCCTTTCCTCATCTTCCTCCTCTTATGCTTCTTCTTTAAATGATATAGAACTCCACTAATCAAAGTAATAGGAATTTGACAATGGTTGTTGTGTTACATAATGCTATCTTCAAATTAGTTGCTTAGATTACCACACATAAACACGCAAAATTGGTAAAAAGAAAAAAGTTTTAAGAAAGTAAAAAGAAAAACACTTCTTGCCTTAGGGCCGGAAAGATGGCTCAGTAGAATAAGCGCTTCCCTGGCAAGCGCAAGGGCCTGAGTTCAATCTCCAGTTCCGAAAAAAAAAAAAGCCAAACACAAAAAGAAAAATATTTAAGCATTAACCCCATTAGCATATGCTAATAATCTTTGTCCATAGAAAATGATAAAATAACATCTACAAGAAGCAGCCTAAACTATTACTGTGGATATGGAGGATCTTCAGAGAAAACTGCTGTTATCATCACAACAGAGCCACATTTGATACTCAAGTTTAAGACTGGGATCAGCTTGCTGATGCTACTTTAAAAAAACAAAAAACTGAACTTATTTGTATATCTCAAGACTCACTATATTTTTCTGTTGGAATTGGTGTACACATTCTCTTGCTTGTAATACTTCTCATAAAAGTGTGTCATGGAAGATTCTCAACCCAGCAACAGCTAGAGGCTGTTCAGCCATGACTGACTCTGCTGCAACTTCTTCAACACAAACAAGGAGGAACTGTGGAGGACCAGCTGGGTGACTCCCTGAAAGAAGAGCACTTGTCTCCATTGTGGCTGGGCCTGAGCCTATTTCCATGTATTGACAGGTACAGAGCTGGCTTCTCTTTTTCCTTATCCCTTCTATTGTCTTTAAGCAATACACAGTGGTCTAGCCAAGGTGCTGGTGGTAGTCTTTGAAGAGAGTATACGTGTTTCCCTGATAACCCACACCTTCTGTCTTTAATATGAGCCAGATCAAGACAGGATGAAGAGCCAGTGCTCCAGGCTGTTGGCTGTGATTGAACCTCAAATAGAGGCTATGACCTCCTGGGGCTTGAAAGATTACACATCAGAGCTGAAGCACTGGACCCCAAACCATTAGCTACAATCTCAAGGGACGAAGTGCCTGCTGCGCATCATCACTGCCTTTACGAAGCTCCCTGAGCTGCAAATGTGGCTTCTGCTTCTCACTGAAGTACTTTTAATGCTGCTGGCTGTCAGCCATTCATGGCTGGTATTAATCTAGGCCTATTTCTCGGAGACCTCTCTCCTTATATGTTCTACTTTCCAAAAGTCACTGGCTTCAGTTGGGATCTTTGCATCCAGGTTCTTGCCACAGAACTGGTTACCACGCCATCACATGCTGAGAGCTTGGGAGACTAGTCTTTCCTTATGTGTTAGGGCTCTCTTGAACAAATTTAACAGAAAATATAGGTAGAATTACACAGGAATGTATTAGTAGGCTTAGGCAGAACTAGAAGAGTTCTGATGGCTGCATTAAAGATCAGAGATGGAAGAATCCCAAATGGCTGTGTTCTAGTCAGAGATTGCAATAGCAACTGAGGTTGGAGGCCTGGAAGCTCCCTGAAAAGTCACTAGTGTGAATCTGCGTCAGTGGACAAATCTGTGTTGCAAGGATGAAGAGTCTGCTCTGGAAGCCTGAATGAACCAGAAACCACTAGCCAAGGCAGCGGCAAAGACCCAGAGAACCTCTGAAGTAAGGAAACACTTTTTCCTTCTTTCTTTTTTTATTCTGTCCAAGCTAGAATTCTATTCGTTTGTGTCATCCCATCAGGGGTGGGTTTCACCCCTTTGTTTCCTGGCCTACATACCAGTCACCCACAGACATACCCAGAATTTACTGATCTGCCAGACGGTTTTTATTCAAAGCAAGTTAACATAGCACAATTAATGATCACACTTGCTCTCTACCTCTTTCTAGGGTCCTCCCTCCTTTGAGGGAGCTCCCATCGCCCCTAGGCTTGGCTTCTTTCTCTTTAGCTTCAACTTTACCCTTAGTTTTTAGTAATAAACAGTTTGTTCTCTGGAAAGTTGCTGTCTTAGTCACTTTTTCATTGTTGAGGTAAAATACCCAAAACCCAAAGTTAATGATGGAGGATTTTATTTTGGCTCATAGTTTATAGAAGTTTCAGTCCATAATCAGCTGGCTCCAAGGCAAGCTGGCATAGCAGAGGGCCACTGCAGAGGAGAAACAGTTCAGAGCAGACAGACAACAGCAAAGCCGTGAAGAGGCGGCCACCACAGCCAGGTCTGCCTTTATATGTCACAGAGGCCATTTGTCCTTTAGGCAGTGCTACTTACACATAGAATGGAGCACCCCGAATCCCAGCATCAGACCCTAAACCCTAGAATGATACAACATAGATCCAGTCAACTCCAAAAAATCCTCACCTGTGACCAGTGAGGCTTTGGGAATATAATCTAGATATAAGTTAGCACAGCAACAGTTCACATTCCCACGGGCATAATCTGGTTACATTGGCTCATCTTTGCATGACCAAATTGTTTTGCAGGTAACTGACCAGAGATGGATTTGTTGCTAATCCCAGAGCCATGTATCTGGTGGAGTGGGGGTGACCTACAAGACCTAACAGAACCCAGAATACAGTAAAAGAGGGAGCTGGGGCAACTTCTTAATCAAGTCACCACTTTGAGTAGAATTTCTTTATAAATTTCGTATTCAACTGACTGACCTACCTTTTTTACTTACTGGTTTTAGTACTACTTTACTAGCATTACATGAGTCCAGTGCTGTGCTTTTGTTACTGCTTCTTGCTATTATAGTACACAGAAAACTGGGAGAATTTAAACCTATTTCACAGAGGTAGAACCCAGAGATGGTAAGTGATTCTGCTAAGGTCATAGGGCTACTGAGAGGCAAAGAACAGAAGACAGACCTCCTAAGTCCCAGCCAGAGACTCTGATCAACATCTAGCAAAAACAGGTGGAATCCTGACGCTAGGAAAAGTTTGTAACTGAGAGTGTTTCCTCCTTTTCTCGTGCAAGAGGACATACCAAAAAGAGAAAAAGACAGGCTGAAGGGTTCCATAGAATTAAGGTTATTAGATATGTAAAATGTTGATTTGGCATCATTTTAAAACAAGTTTAAAAATTATGTAAGAGCTTATTTTAAATACAGAATACTATGCTTTGCAGTTCCTTAAATATCTAGGAAAAGTTCAATAAGTGTGTAATGAAGTGTACATGTATAAATTATAAACTGAACTCAAATAGCTCCAAGAAGCATATCAAAGAATTACTTCTAATTTTTTTTTCCCTTGTTGTACACAACACTAAGGGCAGTCCCATCAGCTCCTATGCTCCTATTTGATCTGCGTTATCAAATGCTTTGTGAGAAGGTGTTTGGACGGCACCGAGTGATGTTAGCTTGCATTAATTCCTTCCCAAGGAGAGGTGCTCAGTATTCAGGCTGTGTGTGTCCTAGAGCGATCTATTTAGACTTCAATTTCATTTCTGAAGGTTTACAAGTACAAGACTTCTTTTTTGCAATATTACTTCTAAAACAACCTTTGAAAGGACAATCATAAATGTCCTATAAAACTGATTTTTTAGGAAATCATTAAGAAAATAAGCATTTCAGAGAATTAAATAAAAATGTTAATGAAAATTGATATTAAGATTTATTATTTTTATCATAGATATATTACAAAAAAATTAAAATTACTACTTATTCATATGGGGAAAGATTTCTCAATGAAACAAATCCAGCAGTAGTATTGTGTTTGTTTTTATGTGAAAGAAAATTTACTAATTTGTTTTCATGTTCTTAAAATTATATAAAGTTTTTAAATTGTTACAAGAATGGCTGCGGATCAGCAAGCACCTACCATTTTATTGATTGGATCTCATAAGCAACAAGTTGAGATTTTAAAAATTCACTTCATATTTCATTTGAAAGAATGGTGTAAGTCACTCATTTATTATCCTATTTTACTTAGAAAACAAGAGAAAGGTTTTATTAAGAGTCTAAGTCTAGATGCTTAGGGGTTTTGGAATGCATTCTTGGGATCCTTTATTCCCCCTGGGAACCAATTATAATAATTTTAAGAACAGTAATAAAGTAACTAGAATTCGGCTGAATGGTGAGAGCTTTTTTCAGTTTTGTCCTTTTTGCCTTTTTTCTCGAGTCGGCTTCTAGCTGGTTCTGTCAGTACCAAGGGTTCTTGTATGATGGTGGCAGGGTAATTTTTACCTAGTAGTTCGACTTCCACTTGTTGTCCCACTTCACTTAGCTCGACAGGGACATAAGCAAATGCCAGGCTCTTCTGGATGCTGTAGCTGAAGCTGCCAGATGTTGTGTTGCCCACCACCTGGAAAACATGACCCAGCCATCAGCCACACCTCAGGCACAGCTGTGTGCGTCTCTGTCCCACACAAAATGGCCTAAAACAAAAACCACTCATAGCATATCCTAAGGAATGCTGTCTGAGGATGACACCAGCAACAAAAAGGAAATTACCATTTTAAAAATGTTAATGAAAATTTCCAAGTTATGAAAAATAATCTTCAAGGACACATCTGCATTACTCTGAAAATTCTCATTTTAAAATAACACTTAGTTTCTTAATACTTGACATTTTCCTCAGTTTTGAACTATATGGAATTTTATAGGAAAAATAAAAGACTGTTTTAAGCTTTAAAAACTTTATTATTAAATCAGTATAGAAACAAGAGAGGAAAGATTTTTTGTTAAAAAAATCTTCAAGTTAGATGTGCTGTCACAGGCCTCTAATCCCAGCACTCAGGAGACTGAGGCAGGAGGATTACTATGAATTCGAGGTCAGAAAAAGCTACAACTCTTGTTGCATAGGTCCTGCTTTACCTTGGTCTTAACCATCCAGTAGAAAAGTATGAAGATGAAATATAAGAAATAAAGCCATGCTGTTAAGTTGAGCTGTGGGGGACTCAGGTCAATAATTTCTGACATTGCCAGTTAAACAGATGACCCAATGCTATTATGGGCTACTGGACTCTTTTAGAATATTTTGCTGAGTTTACACACCTATAATATTCAATAACGGAACTTAGAAAAAATGGGGTATACCTATGAATGTCCATTTTGTATCTGTGTATTCAAAGTGGTTGGGATAGATATATAGTTGCATTCTCTTAATGAATAGAATGATTTGTTCTAATGGTGTTTGTAAATAGGATCACAAGTCCGCATCTTGTACAGCAATTAACCACTAAGAAGAATATATGCAGTGTATTATTTGTTGAAACTGTGCTTTCGATTTGATTTGAAACTGTCCCATTGCTATCTGTTTATCAATAAAACTTTGAAAAAAAAAAGAATATTCACACAGACTGTAATACAATGGTAATACAATTAAAAAAAAAAAAAAAGAATTCGAGGTCAGCCTGGACAACAAAGTGAGTTCAAGGCCAACATGGACTGCACAGTGAAACCCTGTCTCAAAAAGGCAAAAAACAAAAATCTTTCAAACTTGGTTAACTATCTCTGTTGCAACTTAGAAAACACCCTGCTAATAAGCACTGAATTAAACTATGACTGGACCGGTGTTCAGTGTGAATCAATACTTTACACAAGAGGACATCCACAATGTGTGTTACTCATGTGCATCATTTAGCTATTCCTGCCAACCATAAAGCTCTTCAGAAAATGGTAACTTTGTTTTTTTAAAAATAATTTTACTGAAAAAAAAATAATAATGATAATTTTATTGAGAAACAGGTAGCAATGAGACAGTTTCAAAACTGATAAGTAGGAGAGTTTCAATAATTAATATACTGCCTATTGTTACCTACTTAGTGGTTATTCATAGTACAAGATGCTGACATGATATCCTGTCCAAACACTGTTAGTGCAAACCTTTCTTCTCACTGAATTAAGAGAAAGTAGCTGTATATCTATCCTAACTATTTTGCACATACAGATATAAAATGGTCATTCATTTGTATCCCCTTTTATTTCCTTTAGTTTTATCAGAGAAGGGTATTCCATTGTCATTTAAATACTGTAGGTTCATGAATTCAGCAAAACATTTCAAAATAGTCCAGCAGTCCATAATAGTAGTGAGTCATCCGCATGACTGGCAATGTCAGAAGTTGTTGACCTGAGACCTTTACAGCCCAGCATACCAACATGGCTTTACCCCTTATACTTGTATTTTTACCTTTCTGCTGGATGGCTAAGACCAAGATAAAGCAAGACCTATTTAACAAGAAATGCAATTTTTGTATCTCACAAGGTCAAACTAGTCCCCTCAGGATTTATCCTGAAATCCTGTACCACACTTTGTAGATCTTTTGTCAGTGTCAGCCATGTGGATGAGTCATGGCCATTGCTTGACCAATTTGCTCTCTGTGAAAGCCTGAGAGAATGTTTTCTCTCCATGTGACTCTCCTTAGGCATACTCTACATCATCGATCATTTTCCTCTGTGGCCCTGTAATCTCCTTGATCAGAAAATTTGGTATACAACTGAGTTACATGATATTACAGTACAGGTTCTCCTATGGCCTGAGTCCTCACTGATCTTGAAAGGCTAGGACCAAAATGTTGGCTGTCCTTGAAGCCCTTCTTTTTCTCTAATTTTTGGTGTGCAAACTTAGGTTGTTAACCCTCTGGAAGAGAAACTTATTATTACCCTACAACATATGCAGTTGGGTTTAACCTAACTATCTGTCTGAATATCAAACATCTTAGGCATAACATGGAACAGGTATTTTCCATCAAGTATTGATATGTCAAACTTTAAGTCCCTACAGAATATGAAGAAAATTTTTTTTAAAATTAAGAAACATTAAAAATATGAATAAACAATTAAATATTTTTACACAGAAATTTAAAAATCTAACCATGTACAGCATTGTAGAAGGATAGTCCTGTGACATTTTTTTAGAAAATGGTAACTTTGACAGTTTAGTTTTACTATGCACAGAAGATTGTGCTGGACACTGGAGGAGTAATGAATGTTTCTGTTTCTGTCATCAAAAGCTTGGGAAATTACTACTCCACAGAAAAACAGCCAGCAAGCCACGGTAGCACACAAGAGCCAACAGTGAGCCAAGGTTTGTTCTGTTCTTTGAAATGAGACTGACAGTGATGCAGAATGAAACCTTCCAAGGTGCGGGAAGACACAGAGTTCCAGTGAAAAAGGAAAAAGAAAATCAACACCCAAGAGATGGATTAAGATAAGAGGAGACAACAAAGCAGAGAACCATGCTAAAAAAGGAATCAAAACCCAGGAGATATAAACAAAGACTATTCCATGAAAGGAAAAAATTCTATGCAACAAGCTATTATGGTTTGGGTCTAGTTGTCCCCTCAAAGCCTCATGCAGTCACGGGGTGGGGTGGGGACTTCATAATCCACTAGGATTATGGGTCTTGGTACTGCTGGGATTGCGAGTGTGAGTGCTACACCCAGCCTTGGGGCAGATAGCCTGAATGTAACATAAGAGTCAGAGTGGCAGACTTCCTCTCTGTTGCTGTTGCTGCTGCTCCTCCATTTACTCTTTGCTACCACCATGAATTGATGCTCTCTGCCCTGTGCCACTCTGCCTTGGAGCCAGCCAAGTATGGACTGAAACCTCCAGTAACTGTGAGCTAAATAAACCTTTCTTTCCTTCATTTTGAGTGTCATATTTGTCCCAGCAATGAGAAGTATAACTGAGACACAAGTCCAATTAGAAGATAAGGAGAAGGCACCAAGATGGTAGAGTGGTAAGCAGCAGAAAAAGAACTTCTCTGGGAGTTGCCCTCCAGATGTTGGAAAGAGCAACATGAGGAAAACAAGCAGGAGGGAAGTAGGTTCCCTGAACCCAGGAAGGATCTGAGACGAACTGAAGACCACAGACAGAGTGAAGAGAGAAGCTTCAACAAAGAGGAAGTAGCTGGTGGTGTCTTCTACCTGAATGGGACTCACTTATGAGGAGTGATTCAAATCTGAGCACATGCAGGGACTGACCCTAGAGGCCTCCATGGAGAGACAGGCAGCCGAGGATATGAAGGCTTGCATATCCACTGAATGGTAGTCAGTGCTGAGGACTTGGTCATCCCACAGGAGAGAGTGATGGAACAGGAGCCATCTTGAAGAGGGGCTGCCTCAGCTCAGAACTCAGGCTTCTGGCTCCATCTGGTGGCTCCACCTGGACTCAGGCCTGCAGAAGATGTGCTGACAGCTGCAGGCCAAATTGAGGTTGGCCAGACAGTGCAGGCTTTCTGCGATTACCCACTACCCCATTTAAAGCTGTTGCTGGCTTGCTGGGATGAATCAGCATAGACTGGGGCTCTTTCTCCACATGTTGTCTCCAGTGACAGTAGAGACACATGTGGACCAGACGTTTTTCTCTCCCTCTTTTGCTTTTGTTGTCATGGTTGTTGTGCTTTTGGTTTTGGGGGGTTTTTCCCCTTCAGTGTTCGATCTTTTTTATATGAGTGTGAGTGTGGTTTCTGGCCTCTTTGTGGTCATTCTCTTCTGCTCTTTTTATCTTTTCCCTTTCTCTTCCCTCCAGTCTCCTGCACTAGTTTTCCACAGTTAGCGTGATTCCCCTTTCAGCATCCAGCATTTCTGATCTCATCTTCTTCCTCTCTATTTATTTCCTAATTCCTTTTAAATTGTAACCCCTGAGGGTGAAACTGACATATTGAGGACTTAATGCTACATATAATTTTCTGGTCTGTTTTAGATTTTGTTATATAACTACAGATTTACTTCATAAGGCTAAAGGTGGCAAATTCATGCTTACCTCAGTTTGTGATTTTCTAGGCTATTTGATTCTATTGCCATTGCTGATGGTAACATTATAGCCAAAAGTGACATAACTATTCTAAATAACTGTTCTTCCTGGTATTCTAGACTGAGATTGACTAAGGGTCACAGAAAAATACTGTGTCGTAGTGCCAAAGAACTACGGGGTGGGTCAGACAGGCAGCAGCTTCTCATTTCCATCAAATTGAAGACATAGGACTTCGTAACGAACTAAAACCTAAAAACTGGGCCAGGGAGATAGCTCAGCAGTCTAAGTGGCTGCCTGGCAAGCACAAGGACCCAGGTTTGATCCCTGGTACCACACGCTGAGCCAGCCCCAAAGCCCCAGGCGTGCCATGCCAGCCACTATGAGTCTGAGCTGTGTAGTGAGATCCTATACCAGTAAACAAACAAATAAGTAAATAAGTAGATTTAAAATATTTTTTAAAAGATAAGGTGGCTAAGTTTGTCTGGCATTGTTTCTGTACCTTCTAATCTGTTCCATTGATCTTCAGGGGTTTTTTGTTTTTGCTAGTATCATGCTGGTTCCAGGGCCAGCACAGCATGCAGCACCAGGGATCAGTCTTGGGTCTTT